GAGGCCCAACTCGTCGAGTAGACTGGATTATGGACGTGGGTTTTAAGTAACCTACTCGAGGAGTCGGGAGCCCGACTCGACGAGTAGGAATGGCTGGATGAAACCCTAATATTTAGGGTTTGTAACCAATTTAAACACATTATCTTGTCCCACTTCAGCCTCCATTGTCTCTCACAGTCCAGAAAAGCCCTAACTCAAAACCCTAAAGCATTTGGAGTGTTCTTGATCCATTTTTGTGTGTTTGTGGTTGTTTGAAGCTTGAAGAAAGAAGTGGAAGCTTGGTGGTTCCAGAAGAAGCAAGTAGATCCAAAGGTTTTGCTTCATTTCCAGCTCATTCAAGGTAAAAAGCTTCAACCTTGACCACTTATCTTTTAGATCTCTATTTTGGACAAATTTCTACCTTTTCTAAGTTTTAGTAGAGCCATTTTCGGGATTTTGAGGTTCTAAGGGGTATGACTTCAGATCTGGAACCATTGAGGGTTCCCATGGCATAAAGGTGCCAACTTTATGGCCATGGGAGTCCCATGCATCATATAAACCTCATTTTAGAGCCTTTTGAGCCAAAAACCCCATGTATGAACGTCAAGTTGGTAGCTTTACATTTAAAATGGACCCTAGGAGGTCAGATCTATGTTTTTGATGCATTAAGACCATCTGAAATCGACTGAATATTTTTTGGACATAGAGGGACTCGGCGAGTCGCTTATGTGACTCGGCGAGTTAGGTCGCATCTTTCGCCAAAAACCCCTTCTCATATCGAGTAGTGTGTTGACTTGGAAGAAGACTCAGCCAGTTGGATTCATTATAGACCTGAATATCAATGTACTCGAAGAGTTCAAGGATGAACTCGGCGAATTCAAGGAAATATCCCAACCATATGAAGATGAACTCGACGAGTCAAGGACTAAACACCTTAACTCGGATGAAGATGAACTCGACGAGTTTAAGAATGAACTCAGCAAGTCAGTTGTAGAAGGTCCAGACTTTGTTTAAAGGAGAACTCGGCGAGCCCTTGTAAGGATCGGCGAGTAGGGTCGAAGTCTTGGCGTTTTCATGATTACGGGACTCGACGAGTTGTGGGGCCAACTCGGCGAGTTGAGTCAACTGGATGTTGACTTTGACCTAGAGTTGACTTTGACCAAGGTGTTGACCTTGACTTTGACTTTGACCTGAGTTAACCAGGAAATGGTAATTAAGGAAGATTTTTATGTGTAGGATCTGAGAGGGGTTGATTCCGGCAGCAAGGACAGTTCAGACACTTTACAACATTAAGGTGAGTTACCTTCCAGTAGGAGTGGGTCTACGACCACAATGTCGGCCCACTGGTAGGAGTTGTTTGATTAGATGATTGTCTTTGTGATAATTATCTGGGTTGCCGCTATTTGATATGATTTATGTGCTAGGATGCTTAGTTATATGTGTTAGTGGTAGGAGGGGTGGAATAGCCCTCGGATACCGGTTGGAAGATACCGAAGGGATAGACAACACCCATGCATCCCTAGTAGTGTGTTCATGATATGTTATTACATGGTAGTGGTAAGGGTGAAATAGTCCCTGGTTACCGGTTGAAAGATACTGTAGGGGAAGTCAGCTCCCGGTTACCGGTTGAAAGATACCGAAGGGGAGGTCAGCTCCCGGCTACCGGTTGAAAGATACCGAAGGGAAGTCCAACTTCCGATTATGCCATTCAGATACCGGTTGAAAGATACCGAGGGAAAGGAGCCGGCACGGTAGCAGCGCATCGCACACACATGATTTCCGCATTTTTAGATCCATGGGATTGTACTCTGACATTATTACTATTTTGATGATATGGTTGAGACATATGACTATGGTTTTTATGATTTGATGTGATTCGATGATGTTTTTCAGTAAATAATTTTATAAGTTACTTAATTAAAAATGAAATTTTTCGCATTGAAAATTGGGATGTTACACAAGAATATTTTTTTTATTTGGGCGATAGCTCTGAAAACACCGATTGCCCATATTTTCTTTTATCTCGGGGGAAATACGATCGGGAGGTGCTAATTCAAAACCCTCTGGTAAAATAAGAACAACCCCCACATTTAAAGCCCCTTTTTTTTTACCATTATCAAGAACTTGTTTTAGTTGCATGTCATAAGGAATTCGAACAACTGCTTCAAATACAGTATCAGGAAGTACCGTTTGCGGAACCTCAATATACACTGGTTTATTAGCTAAATGGCAATTGGCGCATACAATACGTCCAGTCGCTTCTCGTGGATTTTCATATCCCTTCTATGCAAAAATGGGATATGCATTTGAAATGGATGCACGAGTTATGATATATGTCATGAGCGATACACAAATAGATCGAGTAATCTGTTCCTTTATCCAAGATGATTATTTCTTGTATGCATGGTCCAACCATTGATCCAAAAAATTTATACAATAAGTTAGGGTAGGTCACTAATGGAGTTTCCTATCCACTATTCTGTTATTTACTGGAATAATTTGACTGGATTAACATATAAGATGAATCTCCAGGATGGGTAGAAAGATAAAGAGAGAGTACAATTTTCAATGCTTCGCTTATGTACAAGTGAAAAGTAAGAAACATTCTAATTGGATTAGGTAGATAATTTTTCAGTTATTCATTGAATGATAAATCACTACAAGTGACGGAGATACGCGATTTAAATAACGGAAAATCCAATATTTGAAAATTATATCTAGAATGACTGGAAAAGTGGAAACAAGGCCAAATATAATTTGCTCATTATGAACAAATCCAAAATCCTTGTAGACAAAGCCAATCAGTAGTTCCCAACCATGGGGATAATGAAATCCAATACATAAATCAGTTAATAAAAGAAGAGAAAAAGCTTTTATTGTGTCACTTAAGTTATATAGGAATTCCTGAACCCAAGAGTTAAGAATAACAAGTTCTTTATTACCCAAAGGAGAATAACCACTTAGAATAATGAAACAGATTATATTTGTCGAGAAGTGCAAAATCGTATGAATACGACCCTTGTTGTGTATCTTGATTAATTGGATTGTTTGTTTGTGAATTCCTATACGAAGGTTTTGTAGATGTGTCTCTGAGTATTCCTTAATCATTTCCTCTAAGAAGAGGAGTTCCTCTAATTCTATGAATTTTTCTAGAATACTCTTTTCTTCAATATCATTCAAAAAAGGTTCGGATTGCCTAGTATTCCACCAATTAGTAACCCAGGATTCCATAATTTTTTGAAATGAGAGAGAAGTCCACCAGGGCAAAAATACTATAGATGCAAGATATAAAAGAGGAGTGAATGCTTTCTTTTTTTTTTTCCATTTTTTCATCTCTGAATTGTTAATGAACCTATCTCATTCTTCGACTCTATGTAATCTAATATTTCTCTCCCGCATCAGTTCTATTACAAGTTATCAAACCTATCAATTTAGAAAAAAAATACAGAAATGGATGAAAATTGGAATGGATAAATAATCAAAAAATAATGTTTACCTATATCTCAATTGGTTAAATTCGAAGCACATATCTCCTTTCAATGAATGCCCAGAAAAATTGAAATAATGAACAATATTATTCATATTTTGAGACGAAAGAACTCCTTTTCTATCATTATATAAAAATCTCTAATATTTCGAAAAAATTGAACTTACCATGAGTAGTCAGGGATAGAATTATTGAGGGAAATTTCTGAAGAATATTGTGAAAAATGAGTGGCAAAAAACGACATAAATTTGCTAATTATCATTATAAGAGATTCAATTTTTTGGTCATTAAGGAGCACAAAAAGTATAAAAATAAGCTTCGAAAAAATTACAAGATATGATCTCTAAAGTCTTAATTCCAACAATTTAAAAAATGTGGAATTTCCTTATTTCTAAATGGTTGATTATGAGATATTTCGATTTTGTTTCTTATTTTTTTTATTGAATTGAGTTATGTATATTTCGATACATCTAAAAGATCCCCAAAATAGTTTTTATACTTGATCCATATATGTCTGCTTTGACTCGAATGAATGTTTTGAAGAAACCTCAATTAAGTTATGTTATGGAAAAAGAGCATTCTTGCGTTTTTGTCCTCCTGCTGAGAAAGCATTCCGGCTCATTTCTTAAAATACTTCAATTTGTACACACAAGAAATAGGCCAATTCAACAGCTTTTTGTTCCATTTCCCGTGGAGTAAAATTCTCATTAGTACGAGTCAATGGAATGGCTCCCTGGCCTCTGATATCCATATAAAGGACACGGCAAGCATAAATACCTTATTTCACTTCTATTCTGACAGACTGAATATATTTTATAAGAAATTGGAGGAAGACCCGACGAATTTTTCCAGGAAATCCCCAACGAAAGATACACACTATTTCGTCTTTTCTATCAAATCGATCATAACCACTACCTACATTCCACGAAATTGTGCACCATAAATAGGAGCTAATAAAAAGACACGCGATTCCATAGAAAGACATTACAATTCCTTGTGAAAAAAAACTATTTCCTGAGACGGAAATAAAGATATCAAATTTCTACCAAGATAACTTGAGGTTCCAACCAACAAGAATCCTAATGAACCTAAAAAAGGATAACAGCCTAGCAGAAATTACTTGTTTTTCGAGCCCCCGTTATAGGTTTTATCCATATATGTTCTGATCGACAACTCATACTTGATCCAGTTGATTTTTTTTGGAATTGAGAGAATACTCCAAATGAATATGACTTTACTCATTTTTTTCCCCAAGTAACTCACATCAATTAGCACTAGTTTGTTGTGATCCCTTAGGAGTAATTCATTAAATTTGTTAGATCTAAAATAATAACATACCCTTCGTATGACTTTTGATTCTTTATATAATTAGATCAATAATCAGGAATATAGAAAAAGGGGCAGATTTTCTGTGACTTTTGATTCTTTATATAATTAGATCTTATGCCAAAAAAGAAAACCCCATTCATCTAATTTTAACTTGGATTTCGATAAACTAATTACTTGTTTGCTCAAAATAATTGAACTTAATGTTCTAATTTTGATTCAAAGGAAAGAAAGTGTGTAGTTGAAAGAACTCACTCAAAACGATTTTTAAAGGATTACGTGGTACGATTAGATCGAATAAGCCCTTCTGGAATAAATACTCGGCCGGTTGTGAACCGTCGGGTACTGTTTTATTCAATGTTTGTTCAATTACTCTTTTACCCGCAAAGGCAAAGTAGGCATTGGGCTCGGCAATAATGATATCCCCCAACATACCAAAACTAGTTGTCACCCCACCGGTAGTAGGAGATGTAAGAATTTGTACATAGAATAACTTTTTATTTGATTGATAATCATATAAAGCAGAAGATATTTTAGCCATTTGCATCAAGCTCAAACTTCCTTCTTGCATGTATGCCCCTCCGGAAGCACACACTATAATAAGAGGTAGAAATTCTTTAGTAGTGTATTCAATCAAACGGGTAATTTTCTCCCCGACTACGAATCCCATACTACCTCCCATAAACTGAAAATCCATAACCCCAATTGCTACGGTAATACCGTTTAGTTGCCCTCTGCCTGTTTGAACAACCTCGTTTAATCCTGTATTTCTTTGATAAGAATCGATACAATTTCTATAAGGTTCCTCCTCCGAATGAAATTCAATGGGATCTAGAGAGACCACGTCTTCATCCATAGGCTCCCAAGTGCCCGGATCGATCAAAAGTTTGATTCTATCTGAACTACTCATTTTCAAATGATATCCACATTGTTCAGAAAGATGCATCTTTGATTTAAAAAATTTCTTATAATTTAATCCATAACAATTTTGGCATTGAACCCACAAATGTCGGTATTGTTTGATACAGTTACTACTAGAAAAAGAACCTTTTACCACGCGTAATGTGTGTCGTCAAACGCTCAGATGACACGCAAATGTGTGTCAAGGAAGGCCCTGTCATAACGAAAGACGACACGCTTTTGCGCATCATCTATTTACGACACGCATTGACGCGCAGTTAAGACACGCATTTACGACGTTCATTTACGACACGCAATGTGTATCAAGGAAGGCCCTGTCATAAAGGAAGACGACACGCATTTGCATGTCGTAACTTTACGACGCGACTTTAGGAGGCGCATTGCGTATCATTAAAGCCCCTGTCATAAATGAAAATGAAACGCATTTGCGTGTCATAAACTTCACCAACCATTTACGATATGCATATACGACGTGCCTTTATGATACTCTTTTATGCATAATACAAAAATATAGAAACAAATATATACCAAAAAAATCAATTTCATCCAATAACATCAAGTCAAAAAATTGTAATACATTGATATTAAAGGGATCTGATTGTACATTGTTATTAAGAGGTTTTCCCTAACTATATAACCTAATACTACATTGCTATAAAGGGGCACCTTCTTGTTTCAGTAACTCGTCATTAAGCTGTCTGAAGAAGCTCTAAAACCCTTCATGTATCCAACCAATCATCATGTCTCCTAGCTTCAATATCAATCCCAACTCTTCATCAAGAACAACATAGAAATCCTACACAATAATCATGTCAGTTGTACAATATCAATATCAACTAATTAATAACACACATGGTATGTATGAGAGTGGAATCAAAATGATCTACCAATAAGAGTTTTGTACTGCCTTGAATCAAAGTATTTTTGGTGGCCTCAAGGGCATCCCCCAAAGGATACTCCTTGCTTGTGCCATCTTCCTTTTGAATTTGTAGGAGAGTGGCTGGCAGTTCAAATCAGAAAAGAAAACCAACCAAACCATTACAATTTTATCCTTATTCATATTAAAAAAATTCTTTCTATACATATACATATACATATCTAGAGACTGACTAACTAGATATTTCAAGAAGAAGATGGGTAAAAGCGCTAGCAACATACTCACTGACAACAACACAAGCAGCTTGAACCCACATTGAAATGGAAAAGCCCACACTACCAGTACCACTATGCTTGGTGTGTTTTTATTTTATTAATCAACTTAATCTGGATATAATTATGGGTGGCTAACATAAGGGCCTAGAAGGAGCCGAATCCACATTGAAATGGAAAAGCCCACACTACCAGTACCACTATGCTTGTTGAGATTCAAACAAACCCTTGGCCATTTCTGCAATTATACCACCCTCGAACCGACATACTCAAATTGTCTACAACAAGTCAAATGGATTTATTCAACAAAATTTAATAAATAGTTTTCTACTCATATTTAATATATCACATCATATCATACATGACACAAGTGAGGCAAAATAAAGAGTCAATCTACCCTCTACAAACTAATTTCTATTGAGGTTTGCTTGCTAATAGTTGTGAACAAGCATGACTTAACCTTAATAATAAGTTGACATCAATAGTAAGAAGAAGATTCTGAGAGATACAAGTACCTCCCCATAACTTGTATAAAATTTCTATTGAGATTTGCTAGCCCCTAGGTTTTATATATAAAATTTCACTCACATCAGAATCAAATTATTAAGATTTAAAGGTTACATTACATGAATGATTTAACCTTTCCTTGGTCCTTAGTCCTTCCTTACCTGGGTTGATTGTATTGGGAACATCACATTAGTAATATCCAACAAATCCAGCCACCCAACCATACTCCTGCACATATCTACATAGAGAAAATACTTAAAACATTTACCATACTCCTAAATCACAATGTATGTTCCAAAGTATACAAATAATATCTTTAAACTGTAATAAATAAATAAATAAATACCATATATTTTTATGTACAAATTGAGGAGGTTACTTTGGCTACACTTGGGATTTTTGCATTTCTTGGAAGAGAAACAAGATTATTCTTGTCAGAAATGAACATAAAGGATCTTGATGATCAGACCAAGGATTTTCTCAGGTCAACTGGTCAAACATATACTTTTATACAATTGAACAAAAATTCTAAAAGGTTTTCACAAGTTACGGTTACTTGGAGTGTGGTTGCTTGTATATTTATCTTGAATTTAGCTCCCTACCTGAGTACCAGCTCTTCATTGAGGTCAGATGATTTATGATATTAAATCACGCTGATTTATTCATTTATACTATAATTAAGATTACAAATTACAATTTACAGGTGGTTATAGAGGAAATTGGATGGCTAGATCTTTATTCACCACTTAGATTAAAATTCCATTATGATGGAAAATGATCAAGACAACAAGCTATCCAAGCAGAAAAAGAGATTATTCTTTACACTGTTCTTACTGTTTGCTATGATGTTTTTTTCTGGATATGCTCATTATACAAGCTCTTCCCAACAACCCATGGATTCAAATTTGCTTTCTTTTTTGCTTCGAAGGTACACCATTTACTTATAAATCATTAATAAATTTCTTTTCATTTTCTAGTTTATATTACATATTTACTGTAAGTAAACTGTAAAAGTGAAAACTTACCACATGCATTTCACCTTTTTATCCATAACGAGGTGGACATGGCTTAGAACGAGAACCGCTTTCACTTGATCCAATATAAAAAGGAAGCAAGGTGTCTACTATGTAGCTACTACCACATGAAGAAGATGATGCGCCAGGTGGCAATGACCCTAGTGGTGGGGCTGGCTTTTTCACCACATTTATAACCACCCCCACCCCCAATCTATCCCAGCTTCTCGAACCTTAACCTGAAACAAAAAAAGACGTATATAACCTTATCCATATATAATCTTTTGTTCCATTTCCTTTTTCTACAAGTGTGTTGTCGTTTTCTCAAAGTTTTTCAAACATTTAATATTGTTGAAATTGTTGAATATTGTGAAACTTGTATTTCTGCCAACCCAAGAATCAAATTAGTTTGTCTGCATGTTTTCAACCAAATATAGGAAATTTGAGGAGTATGTATACATGTCATTTATATATATATATATATATATATATATATATATATATATATATATATATATGCTCCTGGAGATGACTCTTTAAGTGGAATAGAGTAAGCCCTTGAGTTCCCATTAGCTTCAAAACTGATTTTGGAGTAGCCTTTAACAAAATATAGAAAAACAAACTCCATAAGCTTCTTTTTTATTTCATTTCTTATGTTTCATAAACAAAAATTTCAGGAATACACTTACTATTTGCTCCTCCAAGCTGGTTGACTGCTTCTATGAACCGGTTCATGGAGATCTGGTGTCCATTTGATATTACCAATACTTAAAACATTTACAATGCTTTCTTAGTAATAGACTTAGTTGCATTGTGTGCAAAGGATGTGTGGGAATCAAGCTTAGGCATCAAAAAACTATGAATTAGAATTAGGAGAATTTACTATTGATTACCCAACGCAATATATGATCAAATGAATCTTAATTGCATTTACTGACCTCTGAAAGTAGAAGGGCAAAAAAGAGAGCAGTGAAAAAAGGCTCCATGGCTTTAATTGTGTGAGTGAAGGAAACTGCAACTCATCCAAGACTTATATTAGTCAAAAGGTTTCCCATTGTGTGTGCCACTGCCAGCATTGCCACAGGTACAATCTAACATCATCATCAACCATGCATTTTATAAAGTCAACTACATACCTACCTACTTAATACTTATTGCTCAAACAAACATTTATTCATTAACCAACGAATGAACTAGTGTAAAAAATATAATTAAGCACTTGGGATTTATAATTCTTGGGTCTTGGATGAAGTTTAAGTGCCCACATAATCAAAATCATCATTGTCCCACACCCAAATTGAAATGTGGTCACTGTCATTGGGTATGGAAAAACCTTAAGAACATGTATCATGTATCATGTATGAAACAAACCAAATTAGTCTCGTCAATTTATTCTTATTAAAAAACAAAAACATAGTTTAATTAATTTCTGACCTGTTTGTTGAAGATGTTGAGGTAGATGTTGAAAAGATACCACACTCCAAACATGGTTTCCAGCTGTAAATTCCAGCCACACTCAGCTGGATTTGCAGACTCACCGGAGCTTTCAGCGGCCCTGACCACCACCAAATCTATAAACTCAGCTGTAGATTCGTTCTGTTTCTAGTTATTCCATTGTTGATCAACTTCAAAGGCCATAGTATCATTCCCATGCCCACAATCTATAAAGACTGAACAACGAATTATGTTGTAGTTAAATTAATATGACTCATCAAATACCTAAAATATCCTTCATAAAAACAAATGAAAGAATTCCATCTAGTTGTTTGTAATTAATTATATGATGATGGGCAAGGTCAAATAGGTAATTTTGATAACAGATTTTCTAAATGTTGTTTGTAACGTGAAGAATCAGATGAGCTTATGTTTAAAGCTGCACATGGGTTTGTGACAACTTAACTTAACTTACCCAGGTTCTGATACGTATACAAGACCACAATGAAAACAAAAATTCCTAGCCTGTTGATAGCAATGACTCAAAGAAAGAGTTACCAAAAAGATATTGATTTCTGTTGATTAAACTTTCTATATATGCAAAATCTAGACTAGAAATTGGAGATAAAAAAGATAAAACAAAGAAGCATACCACAATCATCATCATCATATGTATCCCAGTAGGGAGGTTAAATTGAAGTGATTCCATTATCAACTTGCTCAGAAGAGTGCCATTCAGCCAATGCTTCACCAGAACGCTGTTGCCCATTTGATAATCCCTCTAATGATCTGCTAACCCCAGACGACTCACTTGAACTCCCTACCATTTAACCACTCACAAGTCCCTAAACCCTTCACCAAATTTACCTAAAATCACAAACGCAACCACATAATCAAACTCAGTAATCAGAACACCAGTCCCTATAGTGGGTTACACCACTGATATAAAAGTTGGAAACATCAAAACAATCGTAAATATCATAGATTTTGATTTGATGAAAGGAATTCTATCAGGAAGATTTCTTCATTCGATGAAAGGAATGGAAAATATATATCGGACCTAGGGCTTGTAAGGATGACAAAAAATCACGAGTAACAAACTCTGTGAGGGATTAGAAGTCGTAATGCCATAAATCACCGACTCTAGGATAGAAGTAGCTAGAGGAGGTGTGACACTGGGGAGGGTCGGCGGTGGAGTGTTGCCGATGGTAGGCGGAGGTGGGTTTGTGTCAAGGAAAGTGGGTTAGAAGCGGGAAAGAAAGTTTTTGCTGAAAGGGGAAACCAGGTAGAGCAAAGAAGAAATCCGGCGATGATACGCATGTTGTTGCCTTTATGGATGCTGACAACCGGAAAAAAAAGGCGGTGGCGGTCGGAATACGAGGAAAAAAGCAGCGGTAGTCGATGTGGGTAGAAAAAGATGATTGCATCAAGAAACAATGGAACGTGCTCACTCTTATTGCAGGACATTTCCTTAATCGCTTCCAATATCCAGATTTCTAAAGTCAAAGTTACCTAGAGTAGAGATCCGATGAGATGATTAACAAGTAAGGTCAGGAGTAGCGGAGAAGCGGATTGGAGAAGAGGGAGAGAGGAGAATCGATTGCGAAGATGAAAGATAGAAAGAAGGTAGAAAAAACTTGGGGATTTCATTTCCCCCCGTATCTACTAAATGCGTGTTTCATTAAAATTATAAAGCGACCCTTATAGAGGACGCGCATTTAAGATACAGCGCCCTCCGTGTTTTTAATTTTTTTTCGTATGACACTAGTTTAAGGGAACGCAATAATGTGTCACCTAAATCCTTAAATTTTTTTGAAGAATTGACACTTTTTTAATGTCACTCTCTTTTGCGTAACATAAATCAATGAGTGTTGTGGTTTGCGCGTCGTAAAAGGGTCTTTTTCTTGTAGTGAGTATGTTTGTTTAGTATTTGGTATTTTTGGAGGAACTCATTAAGCTTTGTGCTTACAGTTTTCAGTTTCTGTTTCAGGTACTTTCAGTTTGAAGGGGAAGGGCCCGGCCTGATTGCACCGCATCACTCTATGTTTTTCCACACTAAGTGATTTTGGGATTTATACTCTGATAACATG